CCCAATCTGATTGACCTATCACCACTACCAGATACTAAAGTAGTTCCATCTGGTGAGAAGCATACTGATCGGACTCCTTATGAATGACCATCTAATTTTGAAATTTTGGCTTTTTATCCTGTTTTAACATACCATAATCTGATTGACTGATCATAACGACTACAAAATGCTAAAGTAGTTCCATCAGGTGAGAAGCATACTGATAGGACATTATTACTAAGACCATTTAATTTGGCTTTTTATTATCCTGTTTTAACATCCCATAATCTGATTGACTTATCACTACTACCAGATGCTAAAGTAGTTCCATCTGGTGAGAAGCATACTGATGCGACAGATTTAGTATGACCAATTAATATGGCTTTTTATTTTCCTGTTTTAACATCCCATAATCTGATTGAGTTATCATGACCACCAGATGCTAAAGTAGTTCCATCTGATGAGAAGCATACTGATAGGACTCCATTAAAATGACCATTTAATTTGGCTTTTTATTATCCTGTTTTAACATCCCATAAACGGATTGAACAATCACCATCTCCAAAAATACTTCCACCACCTGATGCTAAAGTAGTTCCATCTGGTGAGAAGCATACTTATGAGATTGATCCTTTATGTCCTTGCAAATAATTTAATTCATCGACCTTTATCTACTCCCAATTACAATTAAAGAGAATTGCTCCATTTAGATTGACACCACTAATATCCACATTCTCAAATACTGATCCACTCAAATTACATCTGAAAAAATTTCCACCAATTAAAGAGGTATTTTTAATCTTGATATTTTCGAAGCATTAGTTCTTTAAATCTACATTGATTTCCACCAATAAATGTAGTGAATTTGATCCACATACTATGAATTACTTATCTACAGAAGTTAAATGTACTAAAAATTTTAAGAATGATCTGAGCTTTTAATTTTCTTTTATTTTACTCATTATAACTTTTTTGAATTCTAAATATTGCTCAGAGGAAAAATTCTATAAATTAATATCATTGTCTTTAATTTTTTTGAGTGTATTTAGAATAACCTTGATGTCATTTCCTATATCTTCTAACTTGTTTACTTCATTTTCATTTGATACATTCTTCAGTTTTATGATGCTTGATCGAAGATATTTTTGATTTATTTCTTTTGAAAAATGTTCAATAATATCTGGTATGTTTTCTTTTCTAAGAATATCTATAATTTAAGTGAATATTTCTTCATCCACTTTCAAAATTGTGGTAAAAATATCAAACAAGGTTTCTAACTAGTTTTTAGGAGTATTCATAATCTTTATTTAAATAAATAATGAATTTCTATTACTTGATTTTAAGTTATCAAAGACAATTTGGGAAAGTATCTTTTCTATTAATATTAGGATATAAACAAAATTTTATGAAGATTTTGATTTGATTGTATTAGAATTAGAATCTTCATATTTTAAATCAAACAAACTATTGCATTCCTTTTTTCTTTAAGAATATAGAATAAATGCATACTTGAAAAAAATATATTATTAATTATTTGATTTTAGTTATATTTTAATTTTTTTAAGATTAAATATCTTTTGGTCGTACTCCTTTTTCAAAACCTTGTTTTATCTTTTGGTACAATTAGTCACTAAAGACTTTTCCTTAATCCTAAATTTATTAAACTAATTTTGTATATGCATCTCTTAAATTGTTTAATTCATCTGTCAAGTGCTTGATTTTCATAAACCAAATATTCTATCTATTTCTGGTTATTTTANGTTTTAACATCCCATAATCTGATTGAGTTATCATGACCACCAGATGCTAAAGTAGTTCCATCTGATGAGAAGCATACTGATAGGACTCCATTAAAATGACCATTTAATTTGGCTTTTTATTATCCTGTTTTAACATCCCATAAACGGATTGAACAATCACCATCTCCAAAAATACTTCCACCACCTGATGCTAAAGTAGTTCCATCTGGTGAGAAGCATACTTATGAGATTGATCCTTTATGTCCTTGCAAATAATTTAATTCATCGACCTTTATCTACTCCCAATTACAATTAAAGAGAATTGCTCCATTTAGATTGACACCACTAATATCCACATTCTCAAATACTGATCCACTCAAATTACATCTGAAAAAATTTCCACCAATTAAAGAGGTATTTTTAATCTTGATATTTTCGAAGCATTAGTTCTTTAAATCTACATTGATTTCCACCAATAAATGTAGTGAATTTGATCCACATACTATGAATTACTTATCTACAGAAGTTAAATGTACTAAAAATTTTAAGAATGATCTGAGCTTTTAATTTTCTTTTATTTTACTCATTATAACTTTTTTGAATTCTAAATATTGCTCAGAGGAAAAATTCTATAAATTAATATCATTGTCTTTAATTTTTTTGAGTGTATTTAGAATAACCTTGATGTCATTTCCTATATCTTCTAACTTGTTTACTTCATTTTCATTTGATACATTCTTCAGTTTTATGATGCTTGATCGAAGATATTTTTGATTTATTTCTTTTGAAAAATGTTCAATAATATCTGGTATGTTTTCTTTTCTAAGAATATCTATAATTTAAGTGAATATTTCTTCATCCACTTTCAAAATTGTGGTAAAAATATCAAACAAGGTTTCTAACTAGTTTTTAGGAGTATTCATAATCTTTATTTAAATAAATAATGAATTTCTATTACTTGATTTTAAGTTATCAAAGACAATTTGGGAAAGTATCTTTTCTATTAATATTAGGATATAAACAAAATTTTATGAAGATTTTGATTTGATTGTATTAGAATTAGAATCTTCATATTTTAAATCAAACAAACTATTGCATTCCTTTTTTCTTTAAGAATATAGAATAAATGCATACTTGAAAAAAATATATTATTAATTATTTGATTTTAGTTATATTTTAATTTTTTTAAGATTAAATATCTTTTGGTCGTACTCCTTTTTCAAAACCTTGTTTTATCTTTTGGTACAATTAGTCACTAAAGACTTTTCCTTAATCCTAAATTTATTAAACTAATTTTGTATATGCATCTCTTAAATTGTTTAATTCATCTGTCAAGTGCTTGATTTTCATAAACCAAATATTCTATCTATTTCTGGTTATTTTAACAAGGCGTTAATTCATTTCTTAATTAATCTATTTTCTCTCTATGTCTGGCTACTGCTTACATATTAAATTAATATCTGCGATCATAATCAATTTCCATTCACTATTTTTCTTCTGTTATTAGATTATATATTGTTTTTAATTTGTGATCTTTTTCATTTTGTTGGAGATTAATTATTTTTTCGTTAAACTAATTGATTTGATCCATTTTTTTCAACTTATGTTCTTTGATTGAATATAAAAATAATGAGAAACAAAAAAGCTATAAAATAACTTGCTCAGTATTAGAACACCTGGAGAGCTATAATTTATATAAAATAGTATAATTGAAAGATAAAAAATATGAATAATTTATTAAAAATGATATGAAAAAGACTAAAACGCTTTAAGATTGAAAAAGAATTTTTTAAAGTTTTTTTCAAATGAAGCATTGTTATTTGCTGCAGATTTTGAAAAAAAAGAAAGAATAAGTATTAAAAATTAAACATTTCTTCAATTTGATAAACTCCTAATAAAGATAAATAAGGACTAATATATAAATGAGAAAATATTATAAAGGCATTTTTTAAGTTTTATAATCTATTGAGATGTGATACAAAAGAAGGAAAATTAATTAAAGCGAAATGAACAGAATATCATAAAAATTTGGGGAAATAAGAAAAAAAGAAAAATCTTAGATTAAATAAGAATTAGCTAGAAAAGACAAAAAAATAAGAGCTTTAGCAGAATTAGAGATGAAATATTTACAAAATTTGTAATAAACCAAATCGTAATAGATATAATTTAAGAATTAAGTCAAATTGCATTGGAATTAAAGTTAGAGGATTATAATAAAAGTACTTATACAAAGAGAAATGAGAAGGAATTCTAAAAATATATAACTATAAATTAAGGATAACAATTTTAAAATTAATTTAAAGTTCCAATTTTCTCAAATTTTGTATGACAGAAACCATTGAAAATCTTCGAGACTTCAATTATTACTAATTATCAAAAGATATCAATAAAACAGTAGTATTAGCAGAGTATATTTGGATAGATGGAACAGGAGAATCGCTAAGATCAAAGACAAAAGTAATTCACACGTGTAAAATATTTAGGTTTATTAAACTCAAATTAAAACCCTTGAAGATTTAGAGTGGTGGACATATGATGGATCATCAACGGATCAAGCGGTGACGAGATTTTCTGAAATTTATTTAAAACCAGTTAGAGTAGTTAAGGATCCCTTCAGAGGAGATCTATATTCTTGTATTATGTGAAACATACCTCCCAGATAAAAAAACGCCAGCAAGATATAACTTTAGGTAATAAAAAAGCTAAATTAATTTTTTTAGATGGATTGCAAATTAAATTATGGAGAAAGCCAAAGATCATAAACCCTGGTTTGGAATTGAATAAGAATATTTCTTGCTAAAAAGAACAGGAACAACTCATTTGTGGCCTTTAGGATGGCCAACAGGCGGTTTTCCATATCCATAAGGGAGATATTATTGTTCAATAGGGGAGAGAAACAATTTTGGTAGAGCTTTAGCCGAGGCTCATTTGAGAGCATGTTTGAATGCTGGATTAAAAATTGCCGGATTGAATGCTGAGGTTGCGCCATCTTAATGGGAGTTTTAGATAGGAATTGCTGAAGGTATTGAAATAGGAGATCATATGTGGCTGGCAAGATATATTTTAGAAAGGATTGGTGAAGAATTTGGAATTGATATTAATTATGATCCTAAACCTATTCTAGGAGATTGGAATGGTAGTGGAGCTCATTGCAATTATTCTACTGTTACAACCAGATCTGAAGGAGGATATCGCTATATTGTGGATAAAGTAATGCCTATTCTTAAAGATAATCATCTTGAAATGATTAAGTTATATGGATAAAAGAACGAATTAAGACTCACTGGAAGGCATGAAACAGGAAAATATGATTAATTCACTTGGGGAGATGGGTCAAGAGGATGTTCTATTAGAGTTCCTATTATTACGAAAGAATAAGGATAAGGGTATTTATTATTATATTTCTAAATAGATATTTAGAAGATAGAAGACCAGCTGCTAATATTGATCCATATTTAGTTTCTGCTGCTCTTGTTGATGTAACGTGTTTAAACGGTGAACATCTTAGATAGCTGAATTCTATTTTTGAAGATTCCTTGAAACCACTTGGATAATAATTATTTTAGCAGTAAAAAGAACAATTTTAGCAATCCAACGAATGAATATAATCATATTTTGTGTTAATTCACATAATAAATTAGTTTGACGTTCATTTATTTCTCCTTAAATTTTAATTAGCTAATAATGTTAATCTATCCTAAATTGAATTAGAGATACTCAATTTATAAGCATCATTTAGATTAAGTATATCTACAGCTTTTTCCATAAGTATTGTAGTTTTCATAGATTTTTAATCCATAACCTGAATGAATGTAAAGATATTGCTTATGTTTAAACTTTCTAAATATGATAAGTAATATATAAAATACTCTATTTTTTTTAAACTATTGCCAGTTTCTAAATCAAGAGCCTAGTACTCACATTCTGAATATATGGAAAATAAAATTTTTAAAAATGTAACAAAAAATAAGACTTTTCTTAGAAATACTCTTATTAACAATTCCCAATTTTTCTTCTTAATATTTATATTTGTAAAAAATTACAAATTCCTCAAATATTTTAATATCCAATTTTTATAAAAGAACTTAATATTATTTATAAATTTTGTTAATATCAATATTGTTTGATTAAAATGAGTTTACAAACTAGATCAATGGATAGGACTACTGGAGAAAAAGCTCAAAATTGGCAGTAATATAGGATATTTATAGAAGAAATGAATTCTCTAATAGGTTCTGCTCTTGTAGAAGAATTTCGAAATGATCATGAGAATGATATTAATCCAAATATCATTGTAGGAAATGGAGAAAGATTGCCAAAAGGGGCAACAAAATTAATAAAATCGGCTAATACAACTGAATTAGGTTAAGTTGTATTAGATTGTGATATTATTATATTTCATTAGAATTATTGTTAAGCTGAGTATGCATTCAAATTATTGAAATATGCAAATTATGCAACTCCTAAAACTTTTGTTTTGATCAGTACTCCTTTAACTTGGTCGACTACAAATTTAAAAGAGAAGAAATAAGAAGAAACTGCTGTTCGATAATCAATATTGAATGAAGATGAACTATAATAATTTAAGAAATATGATAGATTTACTGAAAATGATTTGTTAAATAGAAAAATCAACTAATTTGAGAGGTTAAAACATCTAGAACAGTAAGTATTAGGATGTGAAAAAAAAGAATTAAAGACTTATGTAATTACTCCAGGATTAGTATATGGAAATGGAGAAGATATATTGTATGAACTTTTTAAGACAGTTTGGATGACTCCAGATGCTGAATTACCAATATACGGTGAAGGAAATAATATAATTCCAATGATTCATGTTAATGATTTAGCTATTATAGTAAATAAAGCTGTTTTTCTTTGTCCTTAAGATAAGTATATTTTTGCTGTAGATTATGAGAATATGACTTAGAAAAATTTGATTACAACAATAGCTAAAAATGTTGGGAATGGAAATACAAAAACAGTATCATATTGTTTTGAAAAGATGTTAATGATGAATGTATGGTTAAGACCAACTTAAATATTTGAATCTGATGATCAATACATCGATGCTAAAAAGAATCCTATTATTAATTGGTAATATAAAGAGGGATTCACTAAAAATATTTCAAAGATAAGAGATCAATTTAAAATCTATCGTGGTTTAGATACTGTTAAATTAATTGTTCATGGAGGTCCAGCAGCAGGTAAATCTTATCTGAGTTAGAAATTATCAACATATTATCGCATTCCTCATATTTAAATCAAAAAATTGATATAGGATTTGATTGACTCTAATACTGAAATAGGAGAATTAGTAAAAACAACCCTCTAATAAATTAAGGAATAATTGATAGCTGAAGCTTAAGCAATATTTGAAGGTGAAAAGAAAAAGAAAAAGATTCCAAAAGGTTAACCTGAACCAGTCTTTGATTCCTCAAATATTGTACCAAGACTTCCTGATTCTGTTTTGATAAAAGCATATCAATGGAGACTTCAATAAAACGATGCTTAAAATCTTGGATATGTATTGGATGGATTTCCTAAAACAATGGAATAATTTGAAAAATTATTTCTAAATGAGAACAATTAATTAATTGATGATATTAAACCAAAAGGAGTCATATACTTAAACTATTCAGATGATGAGTTGAAAGAAAAAGCTAGACTTATTATTGATCAGCCAAGATATACAGAGGATTAGATGAGTAGAAGAATAGCTAATTTTAGAAAATCAAACGATTCTTTACTAGAATAATATGAGCAATTTGAAATAAAGAGGATTATCGATTCTGAAACTATATTTGATTAGGCTTAAGAATTTATTACTCGTAATGGTCCTATTTTAGTGTTATAAGATAAATCAGAAGATGATTAAATTTAAATTGAAATAATGTAGGAAGATGTATCTCCAGATTTATAAATAACATAAGAATAATAATAATTATAAGAAAAAGAACAGGTTATAACCGTTACTTAATCTTAAGTTTAATAATCTTAATTAGGGGTGGTTAAGAAAAAAGGAGATTAATTGAATGTAAAAATAATTTTTTATATATAGAAATCTTTAAATGAAAGCAGAGTTTCAAAAGAAAAATAAAAATTGACTGATGAATAGAAATTTGAATAATATAAATAGTAGGAAAAAGAGCAATTAGATTTAAGAAGTTAACCTCTTAGATAATATTTAGCAGATAATGTAGTTCCATATATAGCTGAGGCATTAATTGTACTTTGTGAAAAACATCCTGAAAATCCAATTCATTTTTTAGCAGACTTTTTGGAATAAAAAGGAAATGAATTGTAAGCAAATGGTTCGATAGGATAATGAAAAATGATTTATAAAAAATAATAAATGAGATTATTAAATCCTGATGAGCGAGAACACTCTATTAGTGAAATAATTGATTACTCGATTGGAGTGCTCTACTTTTTTGGAAAGATATACTCTGTCAACGGAAAACATTTACTAAGATTATTTTAAATGTTTATGAATTATTTAGATGTAATTATTATTTTCATTAGAGAATAGGATAATGAAAATGAAGAATAATACAAAGCAATCTCGTACACTCTCTATAAATATCCAACTTATTCTCATGGAGTATTGGATGCTTGGATTATTATAAGAAATACTTTCTTTTATATCTTATCATTATTTGTTCTCTTTATTGTAACTTACTTGATTTTTTGAATATTGGAACAGTCATATTTTTATTAGTAGTCTATTTTGCAAACATCATTTTTATTTTTAATAGCGAAAAAATAAAGTCTAAAATTATGGAATGGCTTGATCTTCCTGCAGAAGACGAAGATTATAGCTGTGAATAGCACTTAACATATGTTAAAAGAAGAATCTCTATCACTCATATAAAGGATAACATTTATATTTAAACTAATGATCCTGCCTTGATAAGGTAATTAGCCTTGAACAATAAAGTAAGCTCTTAAAAAAGTGGAAGGATTATTTTTTTAAATTAGTATACACTATTATTTATGCGATTAAAAATCAAATTAAAAAGAAAGACAATTTAGAATTGAATATTACTAGAATATGAATTATTGTTGTTTATATTAATTAAAGTTTAGATTATTGTTTAAAATAGGCATCATAAAAAAAAAAGCTTACATATGAAAAATTTCCTTATCAGTTTCAAAGCTCAGGTTTTAATTTCAAAGAAAAAATAAACTAAAGTCATCAAAAAATAGATATTATGATAAGCAAAACAATATAAAGTAAGGACTTTTATGATATAAATATTAGCCAAAACAAAGAGGTACATCAAAAAAAAGCAAAATTGAATTTGCTTCCTCAGTTCCTGAGTCTCATTATCATCAAAATGTGAATGAAGACATTCCTCTAATGGAAAAGAATGATATTCCTATTGAAAATTAAAAAGATCAAGAAGGAGTTTAAGAGAATGATCAAGACTAAGAAAATTAATAATAATAATAAATTTTATATTTAATAATTTTAGACAGTAATAAGACGATGGTAAGCAAAAACTAACTATTGGATAAAGTATTTTTAATTTGATTATTTCCTGCTCATTTCATCATTTGTCATCTGATTCCAACACCAAAAAATGATGCAAATTATTTGAACATTTTCTCGAATTTATTAATATCGTTAGTAATAATAGTAGGTTTATATTTCTTCATTGATTTGGGACTCATTTTCTTTGGTTTGTTGGTATCAGCTTAGCTCGCGATGTAGCTAAAGAAGAGCTTCAATTAAAATTTCCTTAAGCATTTTTCTAAACAGCCATTTGTAAATCATCTCTATGTATTGGGATTACTTGGGGCATAAAATCAATAATAAATAATGATTTATTATTGATAAGAAGGAGCAGTAAATAATCAAAGACCTTTGCCTTATGTAGAATCATCGTGTGTGTGGGATCGTAGCTATTTTATTGTTTTAGTGTTGGCTTAAAAGATTTATCTTAGCAAAAACAGAGACTTAAAAATACATGGTTGTATACTGTCTCTTATTAATTATAATTGTAGTCATAGTTCCTTTAGATGTAATTTAATGAGTTTATATTAATAATTTAGATTATTTGTTTTATAACTTATAAAACTAATTAGTAACTTTTTTCCATTATTTTTTTAAGTGAAAAACAATAATAAAGTTTGCATTTATACTACAAATTTTATGATATTATTTCTACATTGCGGTTAAAGTTAGAAATTAAGAGATTATTTTCATAAATCATTTTCCTCAAAATTTATATCATTATTTTAATAATTACTATGTTTGAAGATGATAAAGATAGAAAATTAAAATAAGCAAATGATAATGTGAAATACTTAGAATCTTAACTAACTGTAATTTTATACTAAATAATAAGCCATTAGTTGAGAGTAACTCAAAATTAAAGGATAGCATTCATGCATTATAATACTATATGGAACAAAGAAGATTAGACTTTGCTCACTTGTTAAATTATTCAAAAGAACGCCCTCTTAAGATTAATTTGAGCGATATGGTTGATGTATATGAATGGTTGAAGAAGGATATTGAAAATTATTTAGAGTAAATTTAAGAATTAGAAACTGAAAATAAAATGTTTAAATTATTTATCTAATAATAAGATGAAGAAACTAGAAATTAAGTTGGAAAATTTAATGATATCATTCTTTAACATGAACAAACAATATCTTAATAATAAGAAAAAATCAATTAAGAATATTTAAAAAATTAAGATTATTAATTATAGTTCAAATTAGAATTCGAGAAAAAATTAGAAACTCAAGAAAATAAGTACAAAGATATAATTTAATTAATTGAATTTGAAAAAGAAGAAATTTCATAAAAATATAATCAACTAGATGATGAATATTAATAAAAGTTAAAAAAATAAAAGTAAGAATTGATAAATTAATTCGATAAATAGGAAAGACAAAACTAGACTGAGTTTATAAAATAATTGAAAGAGTTAAATGATTAAATCTAAAAATTAGATATAAAAAATAGGCAACTTTTAACTGAGATGTAAAATGTTAAATAAGATAATGGAATTTTAGCCTAATAATGTTCATAACAATAAAAAAACATAAATAAATTAAATCGTTAAGCTGAGAATTTATTATAAACTTTAAAAAGCGCAAGAGAGGAGATTTCTGCATTAAATTTTGAAAAAATAAGTCTATAAAATTAAATTGAATAACTCAAACTATAAATGGATAAATAAAATAAAAAAGAGATCGAGCTTCAATCATATATCAAAAATTAAAGAGATTAATAATTGGAGATATAAAATAAACTTGAGAATCAAATATGTGAATCAGTGAATAAAATAAAAGATATAATCTCTGAAATAGGGAAAAAAGATTTATTTATTAAAGAATTATCTGAAGCCAATGTTAAAATGGAATAATTATATCAGGAAAAAATAAACAAGTAAAGGATTAAGTATGAATAAATGCTTTATCCTGATCAATCAATTAATACTGACTTGCTATTATATAAAGAAACCATGGTTTAATTTGACGACACATCAATAAAAGAAGTTATTGAAGATTATGAAATGATTATTTCACATTATGCTATTTAATTAGAAAATCAAACAATAAAATTGAAGACTTTGGAAAATTCATTTTAAGAAAAATAAGCTGCTATAAAATTGTAATTTGATTAAAAAGCTATTAAATTAGCAAAAGATTACGAATAAAAATTTGTTAACGAGAGCAAAAAATAAAAATAAAAAATAGAAGAAATCAATTAATAAAACTAAAAAGAATTAGATTCATTAAAAATTAAATTAGACACAGAAGTAGAAAAATTAAATTTGGAAAATTAAAACAAAAATTAACATTATATTAATGAAATTTAAAATTTAAATAATCAAATTAATGAGGATGCTAAAATAATTGATTAACTAAACTAATTAATAATATAATTACAAGATACTACATATTAATTAAAATAATCTCATGAATAATAATTAGAAGTGCTTAGAAATAATCATGCAATTGGAAAATAATAGTTAACTCTCGCTTTTGAAGAAAGATTTGATAAAGTTAACTCAGAATTAAAAACTCTTTAATTAGAAAAGGAAAGCTTCGATATTGTAAGAATATAAGATTAAAAGGCTTTGAATGAAGGAAAAAAAAAAATTGAATAACAATAATCAATAATCATGTAAATTAAAGAAGAATCTAAACAATAATAATAGATTATAAGTGAGTAAGCGTATATGATGGAATAGTATTAGTTATAGATTTAAAGATTAAATGAAGGAATAAAACAATTATAAAATGAAATGGAAAATTCAAAATAAGTTTATAATATCTTTAAAAATTAAAGTATGATAGTTCATAGATAATTTGATGATTCTAATTTGAAATCTGACATAAAGAAAGCTTCTAATACATCATTTAAATTCTCAAGAACAAAATAATTTACTAGATAATCAAATAGGCCTGGATTGCATAACAAATCAACAAATTTTGTTATATAAAATGGAGAGCTATAACAGTTACCAAAAGTTAGATCAACCTCAACAAATTAAATTAGAATAACACCTAGACAGCATTCATCTTATGCGTGATTGATATTTTTAACATTTTTTATAAGCTATAAAATCTTTTCTTTTTTTTCTAATAAAATAATAATAATAAATTAATTAACGAATTGAATGTCTATTTAAAAAAGAAAGAGAATATTTGATTCTTCTGATGATCATTCACCCATAAGAATAGTTTAGAAATATTGTGCAGCTAATTTATGTTTTGATGAAGATGCTAAGAATCATTTTATTAAGGAGATTGAAGAAAGAAAAAAAAAAATTAGCTCAATTGAGGTTTCTTTTACAAAAGAGGAAGTTGATAAAGTGAGAGATTATACATTAAACAAATTAAATTTAACAGCATAAAACATTTAAAAACAAATCAATTCAATTAGACCTACAGAGATTAGTCATAAAATATTTGAAGAAAAAGCAGTTGATTTTGAAAATAAAAGGAATAAAATATATACAAAATTTTAAGAAGATATCAAAGTCATTGATTAATCAATCTCAAATTGTATTACTGATCAAGAACTTCAATAATAATTATCAAGTATTATATTGTCTTTATTATAGAATATTAAGTTCCTGCAACATGTATTACAAAATGGACTTGTGATGGATTTTTAGAATAAAGTTTGGCTGAAATTTAATGCTTTTCTACTTAAATTCACAATTAACTGAATGGATATTAAAAGTAATTATAACCTCCCCCTTCTTCTGACATTTAACAGTTAAATTCTTTATTAGAATCAACTAATAATTATGATGAATTATAATGTGATATGTTAGAATTAGAAAAATAAATGGCTGAATTTTAAAAACAGCTTGAACTTGAGGTTTGATATTGACAATGTATATACTTTTTAATTGCAATTTAATTATTTTAACAAGAGCTAAATAGAAATAGTTCTAAAAGAACCTATTAAACAAAAATATATTAGAAAATATTAATTTTGTTTCAATTTTTTATATACTATATATCTAAAAGTAATCAAATATAAAAGCGTTTTAATTGTGGCATTTTTAAAATATAAAGAAAATTTTTTCATAAAATTTAGAATTTTTTCAAAAGTAGATATCTCTAAAAATACATTACATTAAGTATTTCTTATTATTTAAATCAATGTAACAATTCTTTCTACTTTTATTAGTGAATTTAGAGTATTTAATGTTAATGAGGGAATGTTATTAGTTTTATAATTCTATTATTATCATAATTTGATTAAATATATGTGTCAGAAGTTACTTACTTTTTTGCACTTTTGCTATTATTTGGATAAGTATCCAGAATTTTTAATTTGAGAGAGTTGAGATGTTTTCTAGCTATACATTAACAAGAGTATTTGGTCAAGGAAAAGCTTTTAGTTTATTATTTAGTGGATAAAAACTATCAGCAGAAAAATCATTTTGAATATGCCTAAAAAATCTTCAAAACTTAAGATGAAATGATTAAGAAAGCAAGACAATTTGCTAATAATTAGTATAGCAAGTTGGTCTGCTATTATTCATAGAAAAAAATGAATTAAAATGGCAATTTATGATGTATTTATATAAGATTATATATATTTAGCAACTAAAGACATTAAATAATCAAAAGTTATTAAATTTAAATAGAATTTGGCCTGGAGATAAATTAGTTGAAAATTTATTTAATTATATGCAAAGGTTAAAAGCAAAGTTATGATAAAATTAAATATTTACCATATATTTTTATATGTTTATCTGTTTGAATATGAGAAAAAATAAAAAATGCATTTTATTAGTTTTAATTTTAATTGTAATAATTCTTCTCTATTGACTGTGTGGAATTTTTTAATTATTTTTGTATTTAAAAATTATGAATATGTAATGCACACTAAACAAAGAGATTCTGCGATGCGAGACACCTTCGACAGATGAAACAAATTATGATATCATAGAATAATAATGCTATTTGACATAAATAATTGAATTAATATTTGTGGAGAACTATACTTACAAAGAATTGCAGAAGTACTTTACTTACTCATTCTAATAAATAGAATAATATGATTTCTTTTTCGACTAAGTTCACAAATCTGTTAGGATTTACATGGAAGTATGATATAAATCTTATACTAGAAAATTCTTTAACATATTAAGTAATTTTCTTAAATTACAAAACCTATTGATATCAAACATTTAAAAGATTATGTCACGATAATAAAGGAGCTGGAAAAATCTTATAAAGTAACTTAGTTAAAGCATAAAGAATTGTAAGAAGTCGTAAAATCATTTTCAAACAAAGAAAAAATTACTTAATCAGTTCATTGCTTAAGACTGATGAAATACTCTTTTACAAATATAGTTTTAAGGAACAAAGAAGTAAATGTAAGAATCTGATGTAAAACATAGGACTTTTTAAATTCAATTAAGTCAGTATTAGACAAAAGGTTCTATTCATAAACCTAAAAATATTCTAAAACAAAAGAACGATTATAGTTATTTATATCACTTTTAAATGAAAAATAATAGGATTGCCTAAGTTATTAGGATGATACAAAAAAATGGAGACCATGTTCTATAATAAATAAAACTAATAATAATAATAATATTGAAAATGCGCCTATAATAGTTTAAAATAGTAATGTGATACGAAAGAAAGTTTAATAAGAAAGCAATGGCAAACTAAATGAATATAAAAAATTTGAATAAAACCTAGAAGAGTACTTTTAGGCAAAAACAAATATTGAAAAAAAGGAAATAAATGTATCTAAAGAGTGGATAAATCGATTAAAACTAAAAACCAAAAAAAAATGAATGTGTTTTAGATAAACATATTGTATATTTTTAATTAAGAAATCTTTTGGATTAACGATGATCTGGATTATTTATAACTAATAATTCATATTACCTATATAACAAAAGATTTCTTTATCATCTATTTTTCTTAGTGTTAGAGATTATTTCATAAAATTAAATCTTTTATTAAATAATCAAATGGCAAGAGGTACACCAGCAATAGGTAAAAGACATTAAAAGACTCATACTTTCTGTAAGAGATGTGGTAGATAAACATTCCACATATAAAAAAACAGATGTGCATCATGTGGATATCCAGCTGCAAGATTGAGACTCTGTATTAAAATGAATTAATACAATTTTAGACAGTGGATGGGGTGAAAAGGTAGCTAGACGTAGATCAACTGGAACAGGAAGAATGAGATATTTGAAATCAATTGCCAGAAGAGCAAAGAATGGTTTCAGAGCAGGAACTTAAGCATAACCAAAAGTTAAAAATACATAGAAAAAGTGATTTAATCAGGCTATTATTACAAAATAGTACATTAAATGTTCACACAATCTTTTTCATCACGATATTATCATTACATTATAAATTAGCATTTATTTGTATAAAAATGTGAATCAACTTTTTAAATTCATTTTTATTTTTTTTCTAATCTAGTGTTCTTCAAATTGTTATTACTCCTGCATCATTAATTCCTGTTCTTATACTTCATTATTCTAATATTCAGCAATAATGTCTAATCTAATATTGAAAATTATATTTACAGTTCATCTTCATTATTTTCATCATCTAGAATTGATATGATTTTTATTTTATTAATAGATTTGTTATAGATTTCAAAACCATACTTATTTGATCTTACCAATCTTAAGAAATAAATAATCTTGGTTTTTGATTGAGATCTCTTGAAATTGATATTTTAAATCCATATCCATGAAAAGGGGTTAACACATTTGGTTCTATACTAATAGTATTAACATTTTTATAAATATTTGTAAAGTCATTAAATTTATATGAAGTTAAAAAACCACTATTTAAAACAAGAGATGTTTCCTATTTTTAGCTATTTAAATTAATTTCTAAACTATTTCTATTCAAAATTAATTAAATGGCTTCTTTTTAATTGAAATCATTTAAATATTCTGAGATTTCTGAGTCAACTTCTAATACATCGAAATGTTTTCTGTTTTCCATATATTTTCTAATCAATTCCATTTATTCAATTTATTCTTATTATGAAATAATTGGGCATTCAATAGTGAAGAAAGAATCCTTGAAAAATACAATCATTTTAAATGTTTGTATTACTCTTAATTATGATATAGTGTAATAAACTTAAATCTCTATTTTTTTAATTTATTTTTTAAAGGGCTTCAAACTAGTGTATAGTTATAGTATATTGATTTCAAAGACTAATTTATCTAATAAGGCATTAAGTTTTTATAATTTGATTTATAGATCAGGAGACAATGTTTAAGGCATTTTGTAATGAATGGAATTGGTTTGGAATTATTCGAATGAATTTGAATTGAAATAACAAAAAAAAGTGGGTTTTTTAGTATCAACATCTTCAAATTATTCGTAATTACTTAATAATAGAATTCCTAAATTTAATATATTAGATGATACCATTATTTGAAAAATAACAATGTAAGTTCTAATCAATAGAATGGCAAGTTTTAAGTGCTCTTAAAAATTATTCTGTTTATTTAATTACATAATTCATTTATAAATATTATAAATTATGTAAAAATAATATAAGAATTCATATAATATTCATTCCTTAACATATTTATTCATCTTCTAATTTAGCTTGGTATAAGATGGTAAAAATATAAATAAACAAAAGTCCAACTAAGCCATAAAAAATATATTAGCATTATTTTTTTCTATATATGTAATTATAATTACATATTGCTTTATGCATCAGCAAATGCATATCCTATTCCAATAAGTAATCCTACAACAAGACCTCCTAAATGACCAGCAATATCTACTTAAGGAGGAGCATCAATAAAAGATAAGAATATCATGGGAGCTAATAAAATAAATACAACAATTCTTTTTGGTTCAATTCCAGGAAATGCAGTTATAAAATAGATTAATTCAAGTGCTAATAAAGCAAATATAGATCCACTAGCACCAACTGATGTTTCATGATAAAATCTAACACATGAGAATAAAGAAGCTCCTATTCCACCTACAATATAGAGAATTGAAACTCTTTTCCAACCATGAGTCAATTCTAAAATAAACCCATAATATATTTGAACCATCATATTTCCTATTATATGTGAAAAAGATCCATGAAGAAATATAGGACACACTAATCTCCAAAATTAAAAACGGTATAAAATTGATGGAGTATGTTTTGAACCCCAAGTATACAATACGCATTCAAAACTATAAATATCAGATTTGTCTTAATCTTCATCCAAATATTTTTCAGTCAAATAAATAGTGTGGAAAATAGTTAAAAAGAATATGATGAATTAAACAACAGTAGTTTTGAATGTTAAAGATTAATATGAAAATCTTTCAAAGAATGTTTATTCCTAAACTTATTTTGTTTTTCAAAATATACTTGGCTTGTAAGGTTGTAATTCATTTTAATTTTCATTATGATAAAAGGGATCTCTTTCCATTATTATTATATTATAATATGAAATATAAAATAATATATTTTTTTCAAGGTTCCCATTTAATTATTTCAATAGCTTGAATTGCATATGGACTTATGTATTCATATTAAGGATCAGTTGAAAAGTTCTAAAGAGTAGGTAAGCATTTATAACATTCCTTTCTTCCTTTTGGATGTTCAGCGAGACTTGTTACTAATTAAACACTATTTAATTTAATCTAATGATCTTTGTGACTAAGTAATTTAATAACAATATCAAGTTTATTATTATCCATCATTTGAAATTTGCATTCATTATGTTATGCTAAACTAGCCAAAGCTATTGTTGCATTTGTAATAACTTCATTATTATCATCTAATAATCTTGCACATAATTCAAGAACACATCCTTAATTAATAACTTCTAATTTTCCATTTGCATCATAGGATATACAAGCTAAATTCTTACATGCTAATGATCTTAATTTAAAATTTGATCTTTTTAATAATTATGTTAATCTTTTAATGGCTTATGTTTTTAATACTTCAACTTAAGCATCTCCACAATATAATATCTTTTCTAATAATTATAAATCCAAAATTAATAAATCTTCAACACTCTCTTCCACTAATTTATTAACTAATGGTGACAAAATTCCCTATGCATACACATGATCAACTCCTAAACATCTAAATAACTTTACCTTGTTAAAATTCTGTCATATTCAATAAACTAAGATACCCATTTTTTCTAATATTAACTACTTAATCATTAAGAAGTTTCATAATTGTAGGAACATAAAATTTTTCCATTATTTTATCCCTTCCAAATTTGATTGAACTTATTAACACCTTAAGATTTATTTGAATATTTATACAATTGCACTTGAAGATAGTTCTCTAATTCTTTCATGAAGATTTGACAAGTGACTCATTAAAACATCTAATATTTCACTTGATAATAATGCCAATGTTATAAAGTCTCCTCTATGACTATTATAATTTCAATATTTCTAATTAAATACAAATCTTCATTGATTTCTTCTAAGTTCTTCAATTTCAAAATGTCATCACTTGCAAATATTTAATTAGTCATCTTCACATATCGACGATCACCATATGCAAATTATAAACAATCTTCTGGTTAAGATTCATAATCTTCTCTATTTCTATGGTATGCTATCATTTATTCATTTCTTAATTTAAACTCCATTTTATTTTATTAATAAAATGTAATTCACATCATAAAATGTGTGTATAGTCAAAGAATCTCAAATTAAAATCGAAAAACACCCCAATCAAGATGACAATTTTGTTAATAACATGATCATCTCAAATAATAATTCATTTGTTTGTTGTATCTCCCTTTTTGAAAATAATAAGGAATATTATCATGCTACTGTAAGAAATTTAATAACTAATCAAATTATTATTGAACATGAAGATGATGCTGATGCATTTTACATATAATTTACTCCTGATTCAAAATATATATTTTTTTTAGGCGAACAAGATTATATTATCTATGATCTATTAAACAAATAATCAATCAAAACGAAATTTATTACTTGTGAAATCTACAAACATTTAAAATTATCTTTTACAGAAGATTCTCTATTTAAATTGATATAAACTAATGATAAAATTCAGATATCTCGTATTCTTGGAGAAGAGAGCCAAATATTCTAAGTCAGTCCTGATACTTTTGATTGGAGATTTGTATGTAGTAAACCTTTTATTTCAGCTTTATAAATTTTAAGATTATAAAAATTATTATGTTTGAAAATATTTAGAAAGAAAGGCAAAAAATTTGATGTTATTAAATCATTCTTATTATCATTTGAACCAAAATACTTTTAAAAAATAAAGGCAAAAATTTGGAATATCAACAATCTAACCGTTATATAACATCACTTTGGTTTAAGAGTTTATAATTTATAAAAAAATAAATTAATTAGAAATCTTAAATATTAAACAAAAGAAAAGCCTATATGTGTCTATCAACATTTGGAATAGAATTAAGGTTTTATTGTGTATTCATATGATATTTTCATCAATAATATGCTTTCGATAGAATTTTTATAATTTTTACCAACTATTTAATACTAAAAACCAAACCCCTTTTAAAAAAGTTAATTGTATCTAGGGTAGAATTCAGTTTTAATATAAGAAAGCCTTGAATCCGATTTATGGAAATAAATTACATTTGGTCCTGATTAATGAGAATGAAACATTTATTTCAATTTTATTGTTAAAAATTGATTTTGAAATTCAATAAGTTTTTTTATTTAGTAAATTATGATATTATACTAATAATTTCTCTAGTTTTATTAGCATAATATCGAATAACAATTTAATTATCATAAATATCTTGAAAAAAATCTGAAAATAACAAAAAATAATTGAGATTAAATAAAATAAATGAAATGGAAAATAATTTTAGTTTATATATTTTTGGTTTATAAGGATATCATCTTAAAATAATTAATAATACAAAATATCTTTAGTGAATATTCGTAAACTTATGACGAGATGTCTATTCTAAAATTACAATTTAAATTATCGTTAAAATGGATATTTAGCAATTTGAAAAAGAACTTGTAACAAAACTTTAATTCAAAGCTTCTTCAAGAGTTGGAGTTGAAACAGTTTTACTAAAAATTTTCAAATTCTTTGATCTAAGCAATGAAGGGTATTTGAAGAAGCAAGACTTTTTGAAAGCAATAGCAAAAGCAGGTGTTACGATTTAAGATTAAGAAGTATTAAGATTTGATAAATATAGTTTGGAGAAAGACTTTGGACAACTTATTCAGTAAATGAATAAGTGTAATATAAGGAGTTTATAAATAGAGTTGTTGGAAAGTAATCATTAGAAGAATAAGCAGAATCAAGAATTGTACAGACAGGAAATCCATTAGAATAGCTAAGATTAAAATTATAATTAAAAGGAGCATTAGGCATTTTGAATTTGGCTATAAGTTTACCAAATTAGTTTACTGCATAACAATTGCAAGATTATTTGAGAAGAAATAATATTGAAGTTGATGGGTTGTATTAATTATTCAATGGAGAGTATATGAGTGCTTCAAACTTGATTAATTAAATAAAGGGTTAATATTTGAATCAATCAAGGTAAGGTGTAGTGTCAGATGTATTTTATACATTTGAATAAAGAGAAATTAGTCCATAATAATTGGTGAATAGATTTAATGCAGATAGACATCCTGAAATTAAAATATTAAATAGATCTCCTAATGATGTTCGTGAAGAATTTTTATCAGGATTGAGTGTTTATCTTTAATTAAGAGGAATTAAAGTTCTCACAATATAAGATTTCTTTGATTTTTACTCTTATTTTGGATTTTATATGACAAATGATGAAATCTTTAAGAGTATCATAGCATCAGTTTGGGATCTAAATTAATATTAATAATAAGTTCCATAATATGGTTCTCCTCCATAAAGTTAAAAATAATAACAGTAAAATTATTCACCTGAATCATAGAATATAATAACAAATCCTTAAATTGTTTAATAATTAAATTTTTCTCCAAGTTAAGATAAATCTGTAAAATCTTATTAATAATAATAATAATAATAATAATAACGTTAATCAGTTCCAAAATCAGTAAAATCTCATTAATCAAATGCATCTTAGATGTCATAAACATCTAGATAAGTTGAATTAATAGTATAAAGAATAAGAAATAGATTGATATCAAGAGGAGCGAGAGGATTTATTTCATTATATAGAGTTGGAAAGATATTAGATGCTGATCATGATGGGATGTTGAATTTAACTGAATTTAGAAAAGCTGTAAGAGATCATAAAATTGAAGTGACAGATCCTGAAATAGATCTAGTTTTTTAATATTTTGATAGAGAATAATCAGGAATGATTGATTTATGGGGTTTTATGTTTGTATTAAGAGGGGAAATGCCATAATAAAGAACATAATTAATAGAATAGTTATTTGAAAAATATAGAACAAATGATTATGTTACATTATCTACATTAAGAAATAATTTTATTTGTAGAAATCATCCAGATCTAAAAAATGGAAAGAAAAGTGATGATGAAATAATTTAAGACTTTTTTGAACCCTTACAATTATTACATAATATTAATGGAGGATTTGGTCATGAAAATATTACAAGAGAGGAACTATTAGAATTCTTTAGTAATTATAGTGCTTCTATACCTGATGATAAATATTTCGAATAAATAATTGTTAATGTATTTAGATTATTATAAGATGGAAATAAAAATCATCATGCTGGTAATAAATAAGTATTTGAACCAGATCATAAAAGAAGTTATTTATAAGATCATCATAGATATGTTTTATAAGGAGGTAGTGTATCTGCAAATGCACCTTTTGGAACATATACATAATAAGAATAATTAGCTTAATCTAGACCTTCTGTTGGTTATAATTAACCAGCATCATTTAATATATTCAAACCATTAGAGGATAATAAAGTTAATTAAAATGGGTCTTAAATTTAATAAATTCCACTTTCTCATTCAAAAATTTCTTAATAATCATAATAATAATAATAATAATAAGAGAGAGAATAAAGTGTAAAATCTGTCAAATAAAAGATGGATGGTGTTTAAATTTTGAGAAATAAAATATTATAAAGAGGATTAAGAGGATTAATTAATATTTAATATAGATTTTAGTTATATGATAAATCTCATTTAAATGCACTCTCATAATAAGAATGGAAGAATTGCTTTAAATAATGGAGATTAGATGTGAGTGATTAAATCTTAGAGGAAGTCTTCTAATAATTCTAAACAAATGGGATGATGAATTATGATGGATTTATTAAATAGATTTAAGGTACAATGAGTCTAAGAAAATTTAATGCTATTTAACAAGCATATGAATCATTATCTAAAACAACAATTGATATAGTTAGATGTACTTAAAATATATTATGATAGAATAATTTAATGCTAAGGATCATCCTGATGTAAGAACTAATAGAAAAAGAGAAGATGATGTTTTATGTGAATTCATCGATACATTTGAATAACATCATATAGTTTTTGTAATATATTTAAGTAATAATTTATAGACTGGCGGAGATTATGTTAAGAATCCTAATGTAACATTTGAAGAATTTATTGGATATTATAATAACTTAAATATATTAATTGAAGATGAGATTCAATTTGAATAATATGTTTAATCAGTATGGAATTTAAGAAGGAGATTCTGATTATATTATATATTAATATATATATATATATATAAATTATCATATAGAATTAATAAATGTATTTAACATATTTTTGATAAATATTTTTTATTTGATCAACTTAATAGCCATAATTTAATTGTTTGGTCTACAGAACATGTGGCAAATATAAATTTATTAATTTCACATTTCAAAATGAACTTATCATGAGCATTTTCAATTTTCTTTTTTTATTTTTGTTCTTTCAAATTCCAAACCTCTAATAAATGATAATAATACTCTAATAGTCTTATCATCTGATACAGATAACATATGAATTCCATCTGGATGGAAAGAGACTCCATTAACCCAATTATCATGTCCAGATAATGTAAATAGATTAGTACCAGAAATAGTATTCCAAATTTTAATTTCTTTGTCTCTTGAAACAGAAACTAATAAATTAATAGTTTAAATGTTTTGCTATTATTGTTATGTTAATATTTATTTAGCTCCATGTTCTGGAATATATTTGACTTATTCAACTACATGTTCATGTCCACTCAATTAATGCAATACTTAAGCACTATCTATAACCCAAATATATATCATTTAATCTTAAGAACAAGAAGCCATTTGTTTTTCATCATTACTAAATACAGCACATCTGACCCATTCTTAATGCTCAGAAAAGGTTTTCTTACAAAATCCAGTCTACACTTCCCATAATTTGATACTTTTATCTCTACTAGCACTCAATATAAAATCTCCATGATCAGAGAATTACACTGTTGATACACTATGTTCATGACCAATTAATGTTTTTACACATGTATGGTTTTTTAATTCCCATAATTTAATTGATAAATCCTTATTATCAAATTTAATTATACACTACTAGCACTACAAATATATTTTCCAGTAGGATCAAATGCCAAACAATTTACATTACTTGTGTGTCCTTTCAAAGTTTTTTCGAAATGACCGCTTTCGTAATCCCATAATTTAATACTGCCATCATCACTTGCTGAACCAAGAATTTAGTATTACGG